CCTGCATTTCGCGCACTCGACACGCACGATCTCCGCAGAGGGTTGCACTTTCGGTTGATGCTGTTCGTCCCGCACTCCGCCTTTAAGAGAGAATTTATAAAGTGGGGAAATGTTTTTTCATTAGGACATCTCCCGTGCTAGTTTTCCATACTCACACTTGCCTACTCATTGCATGCTTGCATAGTCATTGCATGCTTGCATGCCCACCCTTGCATATCATGCTTGCATGCTTTCGCTCTTCCAGTGTGTGTGTGTAAGTGTGAGTGTCGAAGTGTAAGTGTCGAAGTGTCAGTGTTCAAAGGATTTTCCGGAAGAACCCTTCGCAATGCTTTCGGGAAAAAGGATTTGGCGCGCCAGAGCCCCGAGCCCACAGCCTGCGCAACTCCGCCCACAGTCTCGCAGAGCCGAGCCCACAGTCTGGCAAGTGCGAGGTTTTGGAGCATCTGAAGCGTCCAGAATCCAGAAGCTGGCTGCTCCAACGGCCAGTATGGCCCGCAGTCTGGCACAGAGCCCAGAGCCCACAGTCTAGCAAGTGCGAACTTTTGGCGCTTTTGCTTTCGGGCCCAGAAAAGTAAGGATTTGGAGAGCTCAGGTTCCACACCTTCGGTGGTCCCAGGCGCCGCCCCTGCCTTCGCCAGAGCAGGGGTCGGCGGATTTTTAGTACAAGGACTAGCCGACTTCCAAGACCGGCTCCTCAGGTGAGCAGAATAAGGGGTAGCGGGACACGTGTCCCTCCAGCGGGACAAAACTCCATCGGGCAAACATTCGACACCTTTAGAAAGAAGCTTCCTGCAACCTTGGAGGGACTTACTTCGTACTACCTAGCTTACTTCCGGGTCACTACCTCATGGGCCAGGTGGCCTTGCCGCCCGAGTGCGCTCTCTTTCTGTTTGGACCAGGGACAAGGCTAAGGCGGGAGTGCATACCGAGCAAGAATCAGAACCATATTGAAACACACCAATGCACCAAACAACGAAACAACTGCCTGAAAGTAGCTGTATAATTGAACAAGTTGCATCAAAAAGTCTTGGTGTGTGTCTAAACATTTGGACTTTGGTTCGATAGCTCCTCAGGCTGCTGCGCGTGAACTGGAGCAGGCCATGGCCGAGATCCAGGCGTTTGGCAACTTGTAGAGAAGCATAAATCGCAGTTTTTGAATGAAAGAGTCTTTGTTACTAGGGCCAGGAGCTACGTTCGTAGCGTCCTTGCTTCTAGTAGCGACCCCCTTTGTTCCTAGAAGCTTGAGCGGTTCGATTTCGATGCCCAGGAGGATGGTCTGTCCAGTGCCGATCAGCCGAGCCTGGCTGGAGAGGATTCAACTCGAAGCGATCCAGAGCCGCTTTGGACACAGAACCGCTGTGAGACTGAGACCGATGAAGCAGATGCAGAGGTGCCATGATCGTGTGAGACCCTGCTCGGTTGGAAGTCAAGTGCTAACGTTGCAGGAAACCAAATAGCGATGGCCTCCAACCTAATAGCAATGGCCTCCAACCTAATAGGTGACCTCCAACCTAGAAGCAATGGCCTCAAACCTAGAAGCAAAAGGAACCTAATAGCGATGGCCTCCGACCTAATAGCAATGGCCTCCAACCTAATAAAGGTGGCCGCCAACCTAGAAGCAAAATAAATCATTAAATAGCGATGGCCTCCAACCCAAAAGCGATGGCCTCGAACCTAATA